TTGTTCAAGCAAAAAGAGCTAAATTTGAGGCAGAGAAGGTGGTTGAAGCTATTAAAGGACTATGATATCATCATCTTATATCATCCGGGAAAGGCCAATGTGGTGGCCGACGCTTTGAGTAGGAAGTCAGCTAGCATGGGCAGTCTTGCTTATATTTCGGTCGGTAAGAGACCGCTTGCCTTGGATGTTCAGGCTTTGGCCAATCAGTTCGTGAGGTTTGACGTTTTTGAGCCCAGCGGTGTGTTAGCTTGCACAATCGGTCGTTCTTCCTTATTAGAGCGTATCCGTGATTGGCAATATGATGATCCCCATTTGTGTGTCCTTAGAGACACAGTACAACACGGAGGTGCCAAGCAGGTGACCTTAGGTGATGATGGAGTTTTGAGATTGCAGGGTCAAATTTGTGTGCTTAATATGGATGGACTCCGAGAGTTGATTTTAGAGGAGGCCCATAGTTCCCGGTACTCTATTCACCCGGGCGACACTAAAATATATCAGGATTTGCGGTAGCATTATTGGTGGCGGAGGATGAAGAAGGACATTGTTGCATATATGGCTCGGTGTTTGAACTGTCAGCAGGTTCAGTACGAGCATCAGATGCCTGGTGGTTTGTTTCAAAGGATTGAGCTTCCCGAGTGAAAGTGGGAGCGAATCACTATGGACTTCGTTGTTGGGATCCCACGGACTCAGAGGAAGTTCGACGCAGTGTGGGTTATTGTTGATAAGCTGACCAAGTCAGCACATTTCATTCCTGTGGCAGTCTCCTACTCTTCCGAGAGGTTAGCTGAGATCTATATCCGAGAGATAGTTCGCCTTCATGGTGTGCCCGAGTCTATCATTTCGGTCCGAGGTACATAGTTTACCTCCCTTTCTGGAGAGTAGTTCAGTAAGAGTTGGGCACACAAATTGAGTTGAGCACGACGTTTCATCCTCAGACGGACAGGTAGTCCGAGCGGACCATTCAGATTTTGGAGGATATGCTCTGAGCTTGTGTCATTGACTTTGGAGGTTCGTGGGATCATTTTTTGCCTTTAGCAGAGTTTGCCTACAACAACAACTACCAGTCGAGTATCCAGATGGCTCCTTACGAGGCTTTGTATGGTAGGCAGTGTCGGTCGACGGTTGGATGGTTCGAGCTGGGGGAGGCTCGGTTGTTGGGTACGGATCTAGTACAGGATGCCTTGGACAAGGTCAGGATTATTCACGATAGGCTTCGTACAACTCAGTCCAGGCAAAAGAGTTATGCCGACCGCAAGGTTCGTGATTTAGCATTCATGGTAGGTGAACGGGTATTGCTTTGAGTGTCGCCTATGAAGGGCGTGATGAGATTTTGGAAGAAGGGCAAGCTTATCCCTAGGTTCATTGGCCCATTTGAGATTCTTGATCGAGTGGGAGAGGTGGCTTACAGACTTGCATTGTCGCCGAGCTTATCAACTGTGCATCTCGTGTTTCATGTGTCCATGCTTCGGAAATATCACGGCGATCCATCCCACATGTTAGATTTCAGCAATGTCCAGTTGGACAAGGACTTGTCTTATGAGGAGGAGCCGGTAGCTATTCTAGACCGGCATGTTCGTCAGTTGAGATCTAATAATTTTCCTTATATTCGTGTTTAGTGGAGAGGTCAGCCCGCTGAGGCATCAACCTGGGAATTCGAGTCCGATATGCGGAGCTGTTATCCCCATATTTTCCCTGACTCAGGTACTTCCTTCTTATGTCCGTTCGAGGACGAACGGTTGTTTTAGAGGTGGAGAATGTGATGACCCAAAGGTCACACTTGTTTTAGAAATGAATTCTGTATTATGAGGCCTTAAAAACCTCTTTCAGCATCACCTCGATTTGTGCGCGCAGTCCGAGCGCGTAGACGGAAAGCCAGTATGTGAAAATCTATGAAAAATGATGAATTTTGACTTTAAAATGAATTAATTTGACTTCGGTCAATATTTTGGGTAAATGGACCCGGACCCATGATTTGACGATCCTGAAGGATCCGTAGGAAAATATAGGACTTGGGCATATGCCCGGAATCGAATTCTGAGGTCCCAAGCCCGAAAAATAAAATTTTGCAAGAAATTGTTTTGTTGAATTAATTATGAGTTTTTGAAAGAGAAATGTGTTTGAAACCATTGGTATTGGGCCCGTATTTTGGTCCCGGAGCCCGGTACAGGTCTTATATATGATTTGAGTCGATCCCGTGAAAATTGGTAAGAAACGGATTTGAAATGATGTGAGTCGGACCTTATTTGAGAAATTTGGCAAGTTTGAAGTTCTTAAGAAATTTCATGATTTTGATGCTAAATTCATAGTTGTTGATGTTATTTTAGCGATTTGAATGCACAAGCAAGTCCGTATGATATTCTTAGGTTGGTGTACATGGTTGGTTTGGAGCCCCGAGGGCTCGGGTGAGTTTTGGATAGGCCACGGAGTGGAATTTTGACTTAGGATGTTGCAGATTTTGAACTGATGTATTGCAGGCCACGCGAAGTCCATGGAATTTTGACTTAGGATGTTGCAGATTTTGAACTGATGTATTGCAGGCCACGCGAAGTCCATGGAATTTTGACTTAGGATGTTGCAGATTTTGAACTGATGTATTGCAGGCCACGCGAAGCCTGGCTCGCAAATGCGAGATCGCATTTGCGAAGGCTATGTCGCAAATACGAACTAGCCCAGGCCAGCACTATCTCGCAAATGCGAGGTTCCCATCGCAAATGCGATTCCCCCCAGCTACTGCCTTAGTCGCAAATGCGACTCTTGTATCGCAAATACGATTTCGCATTTGCGAGAGGTCTATCGCAAATGCGAAGAGACCGTAAAATCTACTTGGTCGCAAATGCGACATTTTGTTCGCAAATGCGAACATAGCAGAGGTCGGGGTTCGCAATTGCGAACCCCGGTCGCAATTCCCATATCTGCAACCTGCAATTTTTATACTTAGTCGAAAATCTCTCATTTTTCACACTCTTTCAAAATCAAAACACTCTTGGGCGATTTTTCAAAGACAACTCTTCTTCCAAATCAATTGTAAGTCAATTTTAACTCGTTTTCTTTAATCATTAACATCTTTTCACATGATTTCAACTCAAAATCAATGATTTTCATGGGAGAAATTGGGTGTTTTGGGTAGAACCTAGGTTTTTCAAAAATTAGGGATTTGGACCTCGATTTGAGGTCCGATTTCAAAACAAATTATATATTTGGGTTCGTGGGGGAATGGGTAATCTGGTTTTGGTTCGAACCTCGGGTTTTGACCATGTGGGCCCGGGGGAGATTTTTGACTTTTTGGGTAAAACTTTGGAAAATTTATTTTCATGCGTTGGAATCGATTCATTTAGCGTTTATTGATGTAATTAAGTAACTTGTGGCTAGATACGAGCGAATTGGTGGTGGAATCAAGAGGTAAAGCAATAGTAGAGACTTGAACTGTGTTCGTGACATCTAGGTAAGTGTTTGGTCTAACCTTAGGTTGAGGGATTAGGAGTCGTGTCTTATTTGCTACGTGTTAATTGTGGAGTACGACATATAAGCATGGTGACGAGTATCTATACGTTGGTGTCAAGCATGTTCGTGAGTCTTGTATTGTAATTATTATGACTCTGTTGTAGTTTATTGTGCTTCACATGTTATTATCCTTATTGTTCCCTTGCCGGGATGTTATTATCATTATTGTTCCCTTGCCGGGATATTATTATCGTTATTGTTTCCTTGCTGGGATGTTATTATCATATTATTGTTCCTTTGCTGGGATGCTTATTTTGATATTATTGTTCCCTTGCTAGGACCCTTTTGTGATTGGTGTTGATAAAAGAAATGGGAGCGGGTTGCACGCCTTGAACAAGATATGTGAAATGGGAGCGGGTTGCACGCCTGCAACGAGATATGTAAAATGGGAGCGGGTTGCACGCCTGCAACGAGATATGTAAAATGGGAGCGGGTTGCATGCCTGCAACGAGATATGTGAAATGGGAGCAGATTACATGCCTGCAATGAGATGTGTGATATGGGATCGGGTTGCACGCCTGCAATGAGATATATGAAATGAGATCGGGTTGTACGCCTGCAATGGGATACATGAAATGGGATCGGGTTGTACGCCTGCAACGAAATGTGAAATGAAATTGAACTCTGCATTTATTTTCCCTATCCGTGTTAGTAATTGGATTTTGATTTTTTATATTCTTTTGATATTCTGTTGTTATCTGTTATTCCCCAAAGCATGTTTTCCCTACCCAATTTTATTTGCAATTATCTCCTTCTATTTCCGTTGTTTATGATATAACTGCACAGGTTTATTTGGTAGTCTGGTCCTAGCCTCGTCACTACTTCGCCGAGGTTAGGCTAGACACTTACCAACACATGGGGTCGGTTGTGCTGATACTACACTCTGCACTCTTTTGAGCAGATCCCAGTGTTGTAGATGAGGTTGCTGCCTTCAGTCCAACAGGCGACCCGAGGTAGTCCTGCAGGCGTTTGCGGGCTTTGGTGTCACCTCCTACCTTTCCTTTATCCTGTTTCCTTTACTCATTTCAGAAACAATGCATATTTCATCTTTCAGACTTTGTATATAGTGTTCTTAGACCGTTTGTGAAGCTGTGACACCAAATTCTGGGTAGAGTTATATTTAGACTTCCACAGTTGTATTACGATTAATTATCAGATTTTGTCTTCCGCTTAATTATTTTCGCTATTTGCATGATATCTATTCATCACTGATAATGGTTTAAAACTGAAAAAGGTTAAGTAATCAGAATAATTTGGCTTGCCTAGCTTTCACCAGTAGGCTCCATCACGGCTCTCGAGGTTGGGAAATTCGGGTCGTGACAAATACATGAAGAAAAAATAAGCAATTAAAAAATTAATTAGACTGCATAAATAAATTTTTCTATTATATAGAAAAGGGAAGTGTGGTCGATCAAAGGCAAATTTGACATTTTGCTTATCCATAAAACTGTTTTCCAATACTAATTATCTCAATGCTCGCTGACGTGGCTTCTCTCAAATATAATTCTAGAAGAACCAGCTTTTATTTCTTTTGTTCCTAGGATGGAGAAACATTCCAAGCTTATATATTAGTTCATCAGTAAGGAATTAGAAGGTTTTCTATTTCTTCATCTTCTTCAAGTTTTTTAAAGATTTTTTCCCCTAACTTTTGCTTATTTTTTTCATGTACTTCTAAATTTAAGAAAAACGATTTATAATTTTGGATTTGCTGTGTCAGATTTTTGGGCTTTTTTGTTCCTGCTTGTATTAGTCCAATTGGATACAGATTAGCCAAGAGCAAACAGGTGATCAACATACTTGCTTGAGGACCAGAGGAGGTAGATTACTATTGTGGTTCTTAAGGTTTGTTCTTATGAAATAATCCATGAATATTGAGGTTTTGTGTTTTTTTGGGCTTATGGAGCATTGCAGGTAAAAACCAAAAGAGAGAGAGAGATGTTTTTTGGGCTTATGGAGCATTGCAGGTAAGAACCAAGAGAGAGAGAGAGAGAAATATTTTGTAGTTTAGCATAAAATATTTTTTAGGTGATGTAATAATGTATTGGGCAAGTTTCTTGTTGCTCTTATGGAAGTTACTGTAGGTTTGCCTCTTTTATTTTTTTATTTTTTGTCAAAGCTGAAATTTTTTGCTCCTATGCATTGTAAGTATTTTTCTATTGAGCTATTTTGTTATCACGATACTATTTTTGTTTCTCTGCTCGCTTTAGCTCTTTTTGAGTTGGTGTCACCTTCACAAGTTTAATCAAAGAAGAATCTTACTACAGATCTAGATGGAAAGAGAAACATAGAAGGTGAAATATGTTAAGTTATCATCTATACTCCTTAGATAGTCATAGTTACTTCTCTTTGGATCTTAGTTATAGAATAAGAATTATTTTAAGAGAACCACACTGAGTTTGAATTGACACATATCCTTGTAAAGAACTTTTTATGCAGTTTGTTATGGATTCTCTTGAAACCGAGTCTGCAGATGGTATTGAAAGTTCAAGATAGGTAATTGCATTTTTTCCTTTGAGTTCCTGAATATGCTAAGCCAATATTAAATTTTTGCAATATGTGGGTTTCTATAATCTATAGTACTTCATTCCTCTATTGTGCTCACACACAGAGAGGCAAAGAGGAAAATAGGAGAGGAGGTGTCTCGAATATTAACATGTAGTCCATTATCTATCGTTTTAGGTAATTCCCTCTAATTCAAGGCTACTGGTTTAGGAATTAGGATATCGATTTTCGTAGTATGATCAAATTCTGGAGAATCTTTGCTCTCTGCTACGTGTATTTATGACATTAGTCATGATGAGTTCAAAGTTCAAACACTTACTAGGAAAAATCCAATTTGTAGGTTGCTCTGCTTGTTTAGTTAGACAGGAGTTTATCCTTTTCTTCATTTGATTCTTAATTTGAAAAGTCCATTACTATATTTATGCCTTCGTTTGTGAAATGAATTTTTCCTTAATGAAATAAGAGCTTTGTTACCCCTAAATTTGCAATAGCAATGTCTGAATTTTAGAAGTGTGAATGTAATAACTACTTTGATTTCTTCATAAATTTCTATGTTGTTTCTTTTGGAAGAACTTGGATATGGATGACTACTAAATAATTTGTTAGCCTAAACTTTGTAATATCGTGTGTAATAATTTATACTATTAATTGATTATTCTTCTGCATGTGAACTATTAGTGTTAAATCCATCTATTACAGCAACTTTTGTTTATTAACTATAATATTTGAGTAACTAAATCTAAGATAGAAAACTGTTCCTTTTCCTTTGTGTAGACAATTCACCTAATACCAGGAAGAAACTTATAAGATACATCAATTTCTGTTTCTATGAATTTTTTCTAATGTATACATAAAGGAATAATGAAGATGAAGTAATTATTGTAAGTCTTCTACGCATAGTTCTATATTTAAAGCTATAATTCCAAATCTTAGTCCAATTTTTGTCTCTCTATTTTACTCTATTGAATACAGAATTAGTTTTTTTTAATAATAATTTTTTAACTTAGTCTTTCTTTGCAGGTGATATTTCCTGTGATAATGTTGACCCCCTAAAGGAGATATATTGTTTATGTAAAAAGATAAAGAAATGAACTTTAATACCTTGTCAGCTAAAAAAAGGTTTTTACAATTCCCCTTGTTGATAAAAGTAATGTGATACTCTTTAGTCTTTTAGCTGAAGCTGCCTTTGACAAATAATTCTATTCTATTTGGCAAAACATATGCTTGGCAATTAGGTGATTTGAAATTTAATGTGAACAGAAATCTAAGTTCAGCTTTCGAATTGTGGACTTCTTAACTCTAATCATCAAATTATTATAGAGTAGTAGTAGTACCATTGTCTAGGCAAGAAATAAACTATAATGTGTTACACATCAATATCATATTTACAGTGATTTAGATAATATAACATGTCAATAAAATGTTGTAAAATTTGAGAAATCTCATGAGTGCATTGAATTACGAGAATAAGCCATAAGAGGTTAACTTTTGAGAATTTTTGGAACTTTTACAATGCATTGACCAATATAGAAGCTTATATCATACACCCTATATAAGACAATGTGCCAGAAAGGTCATAAATTATATGCATCTTCATTGAAGAGGATGTTAGGAAGACATGAAAACATTGAAGGTAAATACTCTCTATATATAATTGATTGTTGCTACTTGTGTTGATATAGTACGTGAAATCTGTTCTACTCTGGGATCTGATAAAGAGTAATGGGGATGTTTGACATAAGTTTCTCATTCATTTTGGGACTTGAAATTGGTGATCTTCTCGCACTTTTTTTTGTTGCTCCAGTATCGTTCCTATTCCATTTTGTTTTGCATATATGTGGTAAAACACCTAAAACATTTGATTTTCTTTTCTAACCTGGCTTTGCAAGAACGAAAATTTGGTGCAGCTTATCACAGTTTGAAGCCCCTACTAGAATTCATTACATTTAACTTCGCGATGCATTGTTAGACTTTTTTTTAAACTTTGTTTTCGTACTCCTTTATTTTTAATTATTATGGACAAAAATATGTGAAATCACCTATCAATTTCACTAATGAATTAAGTATAGGTATTGAATTAGTTCAAAGTGCCTGCGAACATTATGTAATCCTTCTGAATTTATCTGCTAAGAGGATATATATATATATATATATATTGCAAATAGGATGGATTAGATTGATCATTGTGGAGTACTTTATGAACTGCATTGTTTTGTTCCCTTCTGTTTATTATTTTAAGAATTCTTTATATTTATGAAATGTATTGCAAATAGACATAAAAAGAAATGTCAAGAACAAACTGAAAAATGAAAATAAAAAATATATTGACTAGGTCTTGGTAGCACGGGCTGTTCATATCTAGTTTTAATAAAGGTGGTAGGCATATAGATATGAACGCCATATTTTAGGAACTAACGTCTTTCATGTATTCTTCCATATATAGCAAATTTTTATTGAGACAATAGTTTTCACCTAAAATCATTGAAGAATTACAAATTTTGTAAAATCAATTACTTTACTAGAAGCTAAGATTATACTTCGGAGTTTTATCGGGATGGAAAACTCCAAAATACTTCTCAGTTTCGGCCCCGATCTTAATATTTTCATCAAACATAGCAAACAAATAAATTTCTATAGGAGTTCCGGGCTTGTGTGGAGTTCCTGCACCTGACTTCACATGACTAATCAAATTAGTGTAATAAATTCCAGCATTATCTATACTTGCTCCATCTCCACCATCTGATGGCCATCCACTTTCCGAAACAACAATTGGCAAGTTTTCTCCGCCAGCTTTCTCAACTGCATAATATGTTGCATCCAACATAGCGTCGAAAAGATTACGATAGCCCGATGGATCGGGATTTTGTTGTGTAAATAGTGCATAAGGGAGTGGCACATGAGCAGGGTCACCAAGATAACCAAAATACGGATAAATATTTGCTAAGACAGGCAAGTTATTCTGTTTCAAGAACCCGATAAGTGGGTTAATAAAACTGCTTATATCGTCCCTAAATACTGACTGAGAAGGTGGATATGTGTTCGTCAAAATCCCTGTCTCTATTGCCGTTGAGACCTTAACCTGAAGTTGAAATTTCGTTATCGCCTGTTGCACGTTTTGCAACGCAGGGAGAAGAAAGGGAGCAAATTTAGATGTTGCACTATTAGCAGGGGATATTTCATTTCCAACATTTATATATTTGAACTTAACATCTGGTGAATANCCCTGTCTCTATTGCCGTTGAGACCTTAACCTGAAGTTGAAATTTCGTTATCGCCTGTTGCACGTTTTGCAACGCAGGGAGAAGAAAGGGAGCAAATTTAGATGTTGCACTATTAGCAGGGGATATTTCATTTCCAACA